AAATACGAATTTTCAATTTGACATGCATGTATTTTTTCAAACAGCCATGGCAACGCTTAATCTTGATCCTAGGCTAAATCGTATGCGATTCGAATTGGTCCCAGCAGTGTAAGCATCTTTCCCAATGTTTAATTTTTAATAATTTATTCTTAACAATTGTTATGGATTTTAGAGTATCAGAGCCAACATTTTGGAAAAATTATTTTTATCGCGTATCTCTCATCAAACAAACAGCATTGGATTCAATCAAAGATGCTGATTTGGAAAAGGAAATTCATCTAGAAGAATCAGAACAATCTAAAGATACTCAAGAAGTCGATGAAAAACAAGTTGAAACAAAAGAGGTTTGTTGATTGTCGATGGATACGTTATTTCAACAACTTTAATTATTCATAATTATTTTTAAAAACTTCTTAGAATAAAGGTAAGGAGGAAGCATCTAATAGTGAAGTATTATTTGATTCCTCCAAGTCTGGTGATGATTCAGGTATTCATATTATTTCTCATGTAAATATGTTCTCTACTTTAGATAGTCTTATCTTTTAATAATATACATATATTCATTCACATTTAAGACTCTTGGATAAATGAAGCAGCTGATTTAGAGGGGTTAGACGATGGTGATGTAGAAGAACCAGAGAATTGGGAAGAAGAGTTAAAAGAATTATCGTCATGTAAGTTATAATTACAATTTATAAACATGTATATAATTTATTATATTAACGTTCTATGGAAAACTGCGATGTAGTGCATTGATCTATTGAACATGGAAATTTCCTTCGAATCTTTAATGAGCTAGGAATATTTTAAAGCCGATTACCGCTCATTACCATAATTATTTTAGATGATTTTCCTTCAAATTTGAATATTTTATTACCATTAAAAACGAACCATTCACCGGGCTTTTGGGCACGACAGAAAATAGGTTAGTGGTTTATCGTATATACTTTGACAAAAAGCTTAATAAATAACGAGATAATATTTAACTACAAATAGATACAACTATTGGAATGCGGACCAAGATTAACATTGTTTAATAAACTTGAAAATGACTATTAAATTATATGATATTTATATCTAAAATTTGTATATTTCTGGAGATGCAATATTAATTAAATAAATAACGGATCAAGAATTTCAAACGTTTAATTAATATTAGACATTTTTAATACTGGTTTGACTTTGTTTGGATTTTTTTTAAAAAAATTACTTTAATCAAGTTATATTGAATAAAAATAAGTTTTGCTCTTGAAATTTTTCAAAATAATTATATTTGATTTTCATTTTATATACTGTACTTTAATAGCAATCAAATCTTTTATTTAAATAATAACTTAATTATTTTAACAATAATAATTAAATCGTTATAAATCATTTGTGTATATATTTGTATCAATATTTTATATGTCTAGAAAATATATATTTATTTATTTATTTAAGTAGATAAATACTATTGTTTTATTTATTTCAATAAAAACCACATATGTATTGTAATTTAATCTTTTTTAAAAAAAAATATTATTACTTTATTAGTTATAAAAATATGGGTAATTATTTTTGAAGGTGAACAGAATTTTTTGGACACTATAATTGTGCTCCTTAAAATTACATTATACATGTACTGTTTAAAAGTAAAGGCCAAAAAAACATATTTATTATTTTTATTGTCTTCAAAAATAATTATTCATATATAGAATTTTATATATAAAGAAAATGTCAATATTTTTTAAATAATTTAATAAATAAATAAGTTTAATATTAGTGTGTCTAAATAATCTATTTAAATAGTAAAAAAAATTATTATTAGAATCAATACTTATTAAAATAGTATCAAATAGTTTTTTTTTTTTTTGCTTCTAATCAGATTGCAAGAGTTGCATTTATTTATCCAATTTTGGAG